TCTCAGTGCAATAAAATGAGGTATAAAAGGAATAAGGGGAATGTGAAATTCAGCCTGAGATTGTCGAGTGGTATGTCGCCCAACCCAACGAAGGTTGTGGGTTCAATCCCGATCCCCCGTGTCAAAGTGTCCTTGCGCATGTTACCGAACCCGCAGTTGCACCTGATGCTATGATCTGCAAATAAATGAGGAGACGTCGCTTTTAAATGCCTTGAAGGTCGAAAAGGCCTAGACAAGTGCAAGCCCATTTGAAGCAGCCAGTCATACTCTGGGTCGTGTTGATGACCCGTCGGACTGCTGTCCTGCCTGCTATGCAGCATCTGCAAAACCACATGCAAGCTGCAGTTGCTCTCGCTGGAAGCACGTAAGCAGTTTCTGTGTGCTTCTTGTTTCTGAGAATCCTCAGGAAAGACAGCAGTTTCTTTGTGGTTAGGGTTGGGAGAACAACAGAACCCAGAATAATTAGCTTTAAGGGTTGGGATTTAGGTTTTGGGTTAGGAAAGTCACATTGGGTTGGGAGAATGGTATCGCACCAAAGAATAAGGGTTTGAGGGTGAAAGGTTCCAAAGAGTTACAGTGAGGGTCAGACGTTCCCGTATTGATTCGGATTCGAGAATGACATGTCTGAGATAATCAGGGTTCGGGTATGTGTTAGTGTTGGGATTATCGGTCAGTGGAAACGTGGCTGTTATCATGCCTCTGCACACAAATGATCTTCAGTCAGTTACTGACACTTTCTTGCAATTCTGCACCACACTGGCGATGCCTTTGCCCATGTATCCGTTTCTGGACCACCGTCACTCCTAAACGAATATACGGGAGGCTAAAAGGAGCCACTCTGTTTGTGTCAGATCCCGAGTGATTTTTGGACCAATTTGTCTCCCCTCTCTGTCTCTCGTTTGTAACGGCTTGGCCCGTTGTCGTGGGCAACCCGTGTAAATGGTCCTTGCACAGTACCCCAAATTTTCAGAAGACACACAATGCTCGGGCTGGATTCACACTGCAGGTCCAAGTGCCCAATTCTATCTTAAAGCCTGAACTGATAGACAGAATTTACAATACCTCGTGTAGGTTTTTATATCCGATGCCACTTCGTTTACATTTTGTGAACACGAGGAAAAGCATGTACACATCAAAGTGGGGAACAATCTTAAATCATACAAATATCAAATGTTACATTCCGTTTTGTCAGCCTGGGCCGTTGGCCTTCTTCAATTGGTTTGCCAATATCATTATTTCAAAGTCGACAAGGGCTGCCTGATTTATGAAAGGCGTGCAACCGCGTGCAGATCAAAATGCAAACAGATGTGGAAGCCGATCTACCCACTAGGCCAATCAGGATTGCGTCTGCCAAATCCATTTTCGCATGTTGCGGGATGCCAATTGATCGATTTTGTACGTGCAATGCGGTTGCTCAAACCTGAGACCAATTGCACTGGCTGAATTTACGCTCATAAATACTTGTTGTGGAATACCTGTACAAACCAGTCCGCGAGGCGGTGCCAGCATAACGCGAGCAAAATGAGAAGCGGAATCCCAGAAACAAAAAGTATCGCAACATCGCGTCTGTTCGGCAATGCAATATTGGAGCTTTGAAGGCTCTCAGGCATGCCACATCATTTTATGTGACCTGCGAAGGCAAAGCATGTGCTCCATGATTTTTGCTAAAATACCCCAAATTTCTAATTGTTGTCTTCTTTTTTTTCAATGACATTGAAATATTGCTAGCATTTTTTGTTACCAACCCTGTTTTAAAATAAATTAAAGAGTTGGAGAACATCTTTTAAACTCCTTTCTGATTTCTAAACTAGTCCGTTGTGTACATGTGATTATACATTTAGAGGAGTTCACGGTCGTAATGGCCCTCCAAGGGCAATCAAAACTATGCCCGTCACAAAACTTAATATGACACCGCTGCTCTCAGCGAATGACTTTGAGTCAGTCACAAGAAGGAGTCATGCCACGTTCCCATTTTGGTGTCTTTGAGTCATTTTAGTACATTGAACAATTGTTGGCGCTGGCCTTTCGCAGAGCGGTTTTCCGTATGCAGTCCCAGTGTTCGACACAATGCTACGCAGGATGGGCAGATAATTTTTACATCCAGTTGCCACACACTCAAGGCGTTTATACGGCCGGTGGCTTTGCCAAAGTTATCGGCGCTATTGATTTACTCTCTGTCCCTCAGTAATTTTTTGTTCGCCTCTGCCGCTCAGACTTCCAGTTCCATGTCTTCAAACTACATTTTAAACTTACGGGCCTCTCCCAAAAGTGTGTCCAAAACCATGAAACAAACCGCAGCTACCGAAACCGCACCAACAGGGCACGCAATCTCTTAGGGTGCATGAACACCCAATTTAGTTGCCACTGCTTGGGCCTGAGCAAAGTTAAAATGTTAGCAGTGCTATGCTTTGAACGTTGGCTTGATTTCAGGTTAGGTCAGGGTTAAAAAAATGCCGCATCCCAAACTAAATGTGTTTGGGGTAAGCATTTGGGATTGAGGCTCGGAAGCTGATATCTTCTAAAAAGAATGAGGCGTTAGGGTTGGTTCAAAGGGTTGGGCTTGGGGTTAATTGCGGTTCGGGTTTCGGGTTCGAGTTGGGCAAAAGCAAACGTCCGTATCGTAGGAATTGCGTCTCTGGATCCATGCGGTGTCAATCCAGCCATGAAGTAAATGACTGCTGCTGCATTCCATTTTGACTAACCTCAACCCACAATTACTACTGCTGCTTTCAATCTTACCCCAAGTGACCAATCACGCTATCTGTCTTGTTTTTGTTGTGATTATTGGATGTGATTGAAAAGAAACAGTAAATGATTCAGTGTGCATTGGTATGTGGTTCTGTTGGTGTATTTTATTTTGTTTTTATTTTTTGACGCCGTCGCTTCTTCCGCTGACTGCTGTGTCATATGCGTCCGCACCCCCCCGCAGGAGAAGACCAGCGCCCTCAGCCTGAGCAACGTGGCTGGGGTCTTCTACATTCTGGTCGGAGGGCTCGGCTTGGCCATGCTGGTGGCCTTGATCGAGTTCTGTTACAAGTCCCGAGCTGAGGCCAAACGAATGAAGGTGGCAAAGAATGCACAGAATATTAACCCAACTTCCTCGCAGAATTCACAGAATTTTGCAACTTATAAGGAAGGTTACAACGTATATGGGATCGAAAGTGTAAAAATTTAGGGGGTAGGGACACGAGGTTTTCATAAATTCCCCCAAACTTGCACGCTTTTTTTCGGCTCCATCCTCCGTTCCATCCTTCAGTGTTAGTGAATGAAGAGGTTGGCCAAAGGATCGGATGTAGTGGTGACTTATGATTTCCTGAGAGAAAGACATACCAGCCACACGCACACTCTTTTGTTAAAGCATAATGATCGTGTTTGGAACAAGGAGTGTCAGCGCCATGCTGAAAAAGGGAAAAAGAAAGACTCTCAAACATTCATTTTATTTGCCAGAATTCTTTTTTTGGGGGGTGGGGGGTCAAATTAGTTAGAGAAAAGTTTTCACTCAATGGTAAAAGAAGGTTTAACTGTTCTAGTGAAATCTCGACGAAAAGGATAGTGTGATGCTAATGATGAATATGTAGCAGTGATTTTATCCAAAAAAGTGGTCAGATATTGCAAAACAATTTGACCGGGCAAAACGTGCAATGTGATCAACTTTATGAATTCAGATCATGACCAAATATCACACAGTAGGTGAATAGTGTCACAGTTGGAGTGACGCATCACTGGAGTGAGTGGTGCATCTTAAACAAACGCATCGTAATGTTAGATTGCGTCATAATTACAGTGAATCTTATTGTACTTCAATTAAAATGTATCGAATATGATGAGAATTGCAGTGAATCGGCTTATTACTCGTAATTCAGGTGGAGCTTAATCGTACTCGCATTGTAATTGGAGCGAATCACATCATATTCAGTGAATATAGCTGGCATGAAACCATCGCAACTAGATTGAGCCATAGCGTCCTCACGTTGTAATCAGAGTATGGCATCCTAATCGGAATTGCTGCGAATCATATTGCAATTGAAGTGAATCGTACCAGAACTGGAGAGAATCGTATCACAGCAGAAGGAAGTCGTTTTGCAAATGATTTGTCTCAGAATTGGAGTGAGGGGCGAATTGCATTGCGGATTAATGAATCGTATTGCAAAGGATTAATCTTATTAGAATCGGTGTGAATCGTCGTAATTCTAGTGAACCCTACTATCATTAAAGCGAATGATCTGTATATATTGTTTGTGAATCCTGCAGTAATTGAAGGACATTGCATCATAATGTAATTGTATTGTGATTGCAGTAAATCATGTTGTAAATTGGAGGCAGCTGTATCGTGTTCAATTCATGTCGTACATCATTTCATAATTGGAGTGAAACGTTTTGTAAGTGAATTGTGACCTACATTGTCATTGGAGTGGGTCGTTTTGTCATCCAATTCGATTGCACCGCATCTTAATTGGAGTGAATCGTAATGTATTGTATAATTGGATTACAACAAATCAGACGTGGAGTGAATCGTATTTCATCCTAATAAGAGTCAATTGTATCTATCTTAAGTGCAGTGAATCGAAATTGGAGTGAATTGTGTTGGAATTGGATCGTATCAAATCCTTATAGTTCATCTTACTCCACGATAGTGAAAGGGTGTTGTGTCGTAACTGGAGTGAATCGCATAATTGTAGTGAATCACGTCGGAATTGGAGTTATTCGTATTGTATCACAAATTATATTGTCATAGTTGGATTTGATAGGTTCATAATGTTGTGAATCGTTGAGAGATACATTGCATGGGAGCTACAGTAGTTAGGTGGCTGACAAGTCAGCTAGGTAGGTAGATAGCTAGCTAGTCAGCTAAGTAGCCAGCTATGTGGCTAGCTAGGTAGCTACATGGATACAATAACAACCAAAGAAAGCACCAAAAACAACATGAGATTTTTTTTTTTTTTTTAATTCTAGATGTTAAAATTGTTCAAATGCCAAAGAACCACTGTCGGTTTTTTTTTCCTTTGAGCTGATGGCGCTGACTCTGCTTCGTACGTTGTCTGTCCATTTAAGTTCCCTTCAGACCATGCTCATGTATGACTGTTGATGGCCACGCATTGTCATGCTAAATTAATGCTTGCCACCATACCATCCGCGCATCCTCATTCTCGCGTCGTGTCGCCGCCACCCACTCGCACCCTTTAGTTCTCATCCCCATACATATTTATCCATATATAAATATTAATCTTTCACGCTTGCGCACTTGAGGAAAGACTTGCCTAACTTTCTTGTTTGTGGGAATGTCCCTCACCCCCGGCCCTTCCCTCCACCCTGCAGATGACTTTTGGAGACGCCATGAGGAATAAGGCGAGACTTTCGGTCACCGGGAGCACTGGGGAGAATGGTCGGGTGATGACTCCGGAGTTCCCGAAGGCCGTCCACGCCGTCCCGTACGTCAGGCCCGACATGGGCCTCAACGTCAGCCTGACAGACCTGTCCTGATCCCAGACCAACTTCCGAGTGCCTTACCATGGTTTCAAAAAGTAAAGAAAAAAAAGAGCGCTTTGGTTCTTTTTTTTTTTCTTCCGAAATCCCGTCCCCAAGCCCACCCTCCAATGCTCCCTACTCTTGCTCGCTGTTCTGGCACTTTTTTTTTTCTTGAATGGGAACGTTGGAGATCGCAAAGACTTTGTCCCCGGTCAATATTTTCAACTAAAAAATAAAGGGCAACCCTGGAATATCTTGGATTTTTTTTTTCCTTTTCTAAATGTGTGGAAGCGAGGGGTTGATTGACAGCAGCTTCTCCCCAAGTCATGAACTGTGTGTATGTGCCAGCGTGTGTGTTAATCGGTCGCCACCGCAACATCCCAAACAGGAAGCACATCCGCGTTCTAAAAATGTGAAATAGTCCTTTGAAGTTTTTCTTAAGAAAAGCCCAAGAAACTAGAAACAAAAAAACTATTTTTATGTATTTTCACAAAATAGCTTTTCAAGATACTCGGCAGCGCGCGTGGAGAGGAAAGGAAAGAATAAGAAGCAGTGACAGATATCATGTAATTAAAAACCTGTATATTTTATTCGTTAACATTTGGTGTTGATACGAACTATATGTCAATGCTTGACACTTTTGGAATCGACGTTTTCGCTCTTCCTTTTCAACTTCTGTGATTTCCCCCCCCCCCCCCACTGCCCTCCGTTTGTTTGATTTTTTCTTTTTTCCTGCCGAAGACCAGAGTCGTTTGTTGCGCTTTCAGGAGGAAGTGAACCTGTTTACACGCCATGAATGCAAAATATATATATTAGAAAAACAATGGAAAAGGGGCGTTCAAGAGGCATCGAGGAAAAATGCCAAATAAGTGACGGGTGCCAAATCTTAGTGCCAGTAGATGATGAATATAGAGTCTTAATATAATCAATCACTGTCATTTCAGTGAATGTAAATGACTTTTTTTTTTTTTTTGTAAACTATAGTTGTACAGTCGGTGGTGACGACACTGCTAATAATGATAAATAAATAGCCTTTTTTCCGGGGGTTGTTTTTGTTGTTTTCCATGTATTTTTGCATCCACCTGACGAAGACGTAGCAGCGGTTTCTGCATGTCGTTTGCCGTTGTTGGGACGAGACGGGGTTTTTTTTTTCTGTTTTCATGACTGCCAAAAAAAAACACACACACACAAAAGCGTTTACATTTTAACGTAGAAGTCGTGACGGTGTTTGGAAATTTTCAGAAAAAAACAAATACATTTTTTTTTTCTGTTTTCATGACTGCCAAAAAAAAAAAACCCACACACCAAAGTGTTTACACTTTAACGTAGAAGTCGTGATGGTGTTTGGAAATTTTCAGAAAAAAACATAAATACATAATACACACACACACACACACACACACACATACATGCATATATTTTGTATAAAAATGGTGACATTTGAAAAAAGCCTAGCCCCATTTCGATAATAGTTTCAAAACTACTTTAATGAACGGACGTCAGAATTCTATTGATTGTTTGTTTGTTTTAAAGACAAGCACTTCTCAACTCATAAGACTCACTTTATCTCTTTTATGAGCTGTAAAGAAGCCCCGTGTAAGATACATTTGGGGCAATTATCTGTATTATTCTTATCATAATTATGATTACTATGGCTGTGGTTTTCGTTTTCTGACAATAGGTAACACGCATATACTTGTAGTCGCTTCTAAGTTCCATATGGCGTAAATTCAGGCTATTCTCACTGACATTTTGTATTTTGGAATGTGTGCTAACTTGTTTATTTTTGGGACTCTTTCTTAAATAAATTTGAGAAAATGGATGATCTCTGCGGCTCTCGTTTGTGATGCAACAAAGTCAAATCAAAAAGTCGTTTGGAGTGTAAGAAGACTTCTGGGGAAACAGTGCCTCTATATTCATGCAAGCCATTTTGAAATGGCGCTGGGGTGAGACTTGCGCCCCCAATGCAACACTTGAACAAATCTTCAAGGTTTTCGAAAGTTAGACTTCAAATTTTATCCTACTCCCCCAAAGTTGTGTGAACCTTCTGCAGAAGAACACGGTCTTGTGTGATGATGATGAAGAAATCTCTGCGAGCCTTCCCAGTTATTCGGAATGGGACTTTGTGGAACAAATCTTGCGAGAATTCTGCAAAATCACACAAGACTTCCTCAGGCCTTGTGCAAATTCAACCAACTCAAATGAGACACATTGGACTCTCATCTTGGGAGACTTCCTGGTAAATTGTGGAAGACTTCCGAAAATCTTCTGCGGAGTCTGCTAAATTAATGCAATAATCCCTCACATCATACGAGGATTCAGTGAAGGGTCAAATCACACTTCTGTAAAATCATGTGTGAATTCTTTAAGTGTGGGGTGTCCAAACTACGGCCCCGAGGCCTTTTGCAGCCCGCCACATCAATTTTTTAGCAGCCCGTGACATGACAAAAAAGTCGATACTAAAACCAGCATTAGACATGCGGGTCAAGGTTAGTTAAAAAAGGTGAAGCGGGCAGAGTGAGAAGGGAGGGTGTTATTACTATTAATATATTTGTTTATATACTGTTGAACATTTCTTTGTATTCGAAGATACAAACAAACCACTTAGGATAAAAAGAACAACACAATTCATCTTCAAAACACAATTCAAAGGCAAAAAAGAGAAACGGTTTCTTCCACTTGGTGCTTTCCGGCTGATTTCTGAAGACATCACATTGATGATCCTCAAGTAACTGTTTGAAAAATTGCCACATAGGAGTTTGCTCTTTTTCGGGTTCCGAATGCAGAGATGGGATTCGTTTGGTGTCTCATGCAGAGCTGGATCTACTCTGTGAGATAAACGGCTGTTGTTTGGACCCCCCTGCCGTAAATCTTGCTAGACTTCACAGGGAAGTCACACGGAAGCTAAGATCACACATGATTTCCTCAACTCTTGCAAGACTAAGGGTCCTATTTTGATAGACTGCCGCCTGCGCCCTTGATGTAAAAACAGACGGAACTTCATTTTTGTGTCGGCCCAAGTCCAGTCTACCATCAGGTGCGTGTTTGGGGCCTCTCTGGGCATTCCAGCACAAAAAGTTGCCTCGCCCCCGAGTCATCAATTCCACCACTAAAGACAGACAAAATCAAGTCTTGTGCTAGTTCCTAAATTATGCAAGACATTTTCAAATCTTGCAAGAATTCCAAAAATCTTGTGAGATTTTTCACCAAATCCTGCGAAGGTTCCTCAAAATTTGTCACAGTTCCGCTAAATCATGGCTGACTTCCTCGGCCCTTGTTCAAGTTATGCTGGGCTTTTTTTCTTTCGATTGTGTCAAAGCCAAAGCACAATTAACGTTCCTGATTTGGTGCCTGATTTCGAAGATAGAACCTTAGCAGTGTGCCGGCGTTTTGTCGTGGAAATGACTTATTGATGTGATAGCTCCCCCAGGAGAGACACCATCATCGTCATTCCACCAGTCAGCGGCGGGCACTTTGATGTAATCAAGAGTCCTTATGGGCTGTTTGCTCGGCCGGGGATGATTAAACAAAATTAATCTGCGCTCACGCATGAGCACTCAACTCCCGCAGGACTACGACGCTGCCGCTTTACGGGAGTCTGATGAGATCCAATCCAAGAGCTGTGCGACAGGCTCCTTTTACACTGCCTCTCAAAGTCCTTTGACCGGCTTGTCTACAGAGAGGGAGTTTTACGATTTGTTGCAGAGTGTTCCACGCGTTTGGGGCGGAAAATGTAAAAGATCTCCGCAAAGTAAAGCTGACTTTGGGAACCAAATAAAACTGCTGGATCAGAGTGCGTGTGGCGGAATGCATGGTGAGCAAGGGAGAAGGTGGAGAGTGTCAGAGTGTCATCTTCAGTACTTCAAACACAAAATGGGAGGACAAACTCCATCCATCCATCCCTCCATTTTCAACATCGGTTATCCTGGAGAGGGTCGTGGGGAGTTGCTGGAGCCTATCCCAGCTGAGTTTGGGCGGAAGGCGGACTACAGACCCCGAACTGGTCACCAGTCAGTCCGCAGGGCACGTAGAGACAAATGATCATTCACACACATCGTTACTGAGTGGGAACCAATTCCATGCTGCCCGCACGCATGTCAGACGAGTGTACCACCACACCATCAGCGACTGGAGGGCAAACTTGACTTGTCAATTTTCCATCCACGGTGTCGGAGCAAGGACGGCAAGGGTGTACAGTAAAGTTGAAGATGTATAAAAGAAGTCACACAGGTGATACCCTTTCGATTTGATGACTCCCCGATACCTTTTGAAATGTAACAGACGATTTTGCTTGATGACAGCATGGTTGGCTCCTTTGGTCAGGAAATACAAATTGTAACCACGGTTGGCGGCTGCTGGGAAACAGTTATCCCAAAGTCAGCGTCGTCATGGCAACAGCTGCTTCCACATAAAGAAAAGGATGTGGATGAAAGGGGAAAACGGGGGATGGTGTTGCTCTTCCATGCATAGATTTGAAAGGCGCCCATGAGAACAAAACATCGGCGGGCAGATTATGCAATTCGGCGGGGAACGAGTTTACGTCGCCATGACAACAAGGCACGGAGAGATGTCATCGTGTTGTCTTTTGCCCACGGACAGATGCTCGTGCCGGGGCTGGCATTTCTTCCAGAAATGTCACGGATGCATTTAATAATGGTGATAATCATAATAATAATCATCATAAGCAGCAGCTTCCGCACTGGAGATGACGCACATAAATGTTGCTAAGTGAAACTGACTTTGTGGAGCTGAGCGCTCGGTTTCCTGGTTGATGCAAAGTGATGAAACCTTGCTACCTTGCTCCGCCGACACACAATGCCAAAAGCTAAAATCTCTCACAATTTACCGGCATCAATTTCTCGAGTTAAGTTGGTTTACATTTGGGTGCAATTGTATCCAAATCTCTTAGATGAGATGGAATGGATCAAAATATGCCCAAAATGGCCACTTCAAACCAAAATGGTCGACTTCCTGTCACAGTTCTGTTTGTGGCACTGTAGGGCTCCCCCTGCAGCTGCACACCTGTTGGTGGTTATGTAATTAGCTGTTTAAAAAAGGACTCCCGGCACGACCACTCATTGTCGGGTCATTGTTTATTTGTTGCTGTCATGTTTGTTGCTGTCATGTTTTTGGTCATGTTTTGGTCATGTTTCTGTTATTGATAGTTTTTTGCGTCAGTCTTGGTTTGGGTTTGCTACTTTGGATTCTTTTTGTTTTCAGGACTTTGTTTGTTTAGGATTTAGTTTTCTCCCTGTTTTTATCAATACAACGGGTCAAGTACACCCTTGCCTGCTTTTTGGGGTCCACCACCTCCACGCACTGTGACACTTCCTGTGTCTTTTCGGGCATGGCTTCTTGAAAATTTTTGGGGGATGCTCTACTCATGATAGTCGTGTCTACCGTATTTCATGCTGACATGTAAATCTGGCTTTAGGGGCAATTTTTTTTTTTTTTTTAATGTTGACAAGATGTTGCTAAAATGACTGTTACAAAGTAAAATGGCTTCGGCATGCCCATCAAACTTCACACCTGGGCACTGCTGTGCCCTAATAAGTACGTCTTGACGTCTGCCACCTTAATGATGTTATTTTCAAATTAGCAAGCGACAAATGATGCAACAGATGTTTGTGGGCGGGTCCAGGTTAGTTGCCATCTGTGCAGCAAAAGAAAAAAAAAAGTGTGAAAGGAAAACATCCATGTATCATAATCCCGTCTTTCCAAAAGGAGTCAAATGAAAGCTCGATGGTGCACATGAGGGACGTGAGGCGTTAACTGGAGGAAAGGGGAGCGAGCTCCCCGTCCAGGTGCCATCTGCCTTCGCCAATCTCGCCGTCAAACATGGCAGCCGCATCCAGGGACGTTTTCATCTCCAAAGATGGATCGTCTGCATTCGGATTCCATTTTTCACCTCTCTCTCATTTATGTCCGCTCGCGCGTGTTGTGGCACAGCACCTGAGCGCATACGCAAAAGTTGCAAGAAAAAGGATGCGGACCCTTTGAATCGGCCTGAGAATGGGAATGTGAAATGCAATGTAAATGACAAACTCATGTAAATTGTAAGATGTGATTCGATCTTCATCTTAACTCGGTGAGTCCCAACCACTGTGTTGCAGGAAATTATTCATTTTCACATATTTAGGGCAATAATGATGATTGATTGACAACTAATAATGCATCTTCCTTCATTGGGCTATGCCATCGACAAATAGTGACAGGCAGGACAGTTACAGTCACATTACTGTACTACTTTCCGATTTTTTTCTTCAAAGTTGGATTCATACAAACAAAAATTAAAATGAAATCAAAGAAAATTTGAAAAATGAGATAAAAATATGAACATTAAAAAAACGGGGTAATTTAAAAAAATCACTCAAAAATAAAGCTAGAATTAGAGTTACATCGTCAAAAAGTTACAATGATGAGAATCATATTTTTTTTTTTTAAGAAAGAAGTTTCACGAATGTTACAAGGAAAAAAAGTACAAGACTAAAATCAGAAAATTAACTGAAAAACTTTGAAGGATAATTTTATATAGCCAGAAGGAAGTCGTTCAAAAAAGGAGTTGTATTTTCACAATGAAGTCGTTCCCTCTTCTCCTGCATATTGTGTTAAGCTGTAAAGCAACCTTTTTTTACCTGTTCATGATGTGTGTGCAGTGGTCTTATTTTTTTTTTCTTTTTTGTGGACTACATTCAGCATTCAGCCTTCACCGAATAATGCGTGTTGTGCACATCTCAACCTGACTACGGCATTGAAGGAAGGAGACAAGCATTGTAACAGGACCCTTGCCTAAAAACCAAACGGGAAGCTCGTGCTTCTGGTTTGAGGGAGCCATTTTGGCTTCATTCCACGGCTTGGCGTCAAGATTTGATGAGAGCTTTGAGGATTCTCACCCAAAAAAAAAAATTTGCCACCGACAGCAGTTTCACAGATCAACATGAAATTGGATGGACAGGTTTCGTAACAGGACCCACAAAAAACTCAAAGACCCATGTCGCTGAACAGAAAATCTACCATCTTCAACTTTTGCTGATCATTTCACAGATTCACTGAATTTTTTTGGGGAGGGGCGGGGGGCGAGGGAATCAGCCCCGACAAGAGTTTCACCAATTGACATGACGTCAAGGACCCGTGTCCAAAACTGAACAGGAAGTCATCCGTTTTGGTTTGAAGAAGCTACTTTGGGCAAATTCCAGTGTTCGTACTTTGATGAAATCCTATGTGTAAATTCTCCTAAAAGGAGCCCCAACCTGTAGTACATATCCCACAAAGAAACATTGTAACCATTTTAAGATGAAACACACGCACTTGTAAGTCTTCCCCTGAGTGTTCCCACTGATGTGTTCCCTCACTTCCTGTTCCCCAAGTGAACTTCCTGGGTGTCAGTCATGTTGAAAGCGGCACATCAGCATGCAGCTTGTTACCTAACACACCTTAGCAGCGGCGTCCCAGCACGCTCCGCAGCTCCAGCGGGCTAAGCACACCGCTCATTATTTATTGATCGGGGACATTCTCATGCGGCGCGCTCAGACCTTGATGTTGATGACGGCGTGCAGTACACGCGCACACTAAAGTCGTTCCTTTTTCTCCCGCATATTCTATTAAGATGTAAAGCAGCCTGTTCATTATATGTGTGCAGTATACGTGCTCATTTTACGTGAAATTCATCACTTTAGCCACAACAAATATTTCATTGATATTGTGAGTTGTCTGTTTGTCACAAGATAAATAAATAAATAATAAATACATTTTGGGTTTTTTTTAAGATGAGTAGTGGACTCATCTTTAAAAAAAATAATGTATTGATTTTTTTTTTTTTTTTGCATTTTCATTTATTGTTTAACTTGTAATGTTACCAAAATAAAAAATTAAAAATGTGGTCAAAAAGTAATTTGAAGACAAAAAAAAAATCTATGGAATGAAGTCAAATTTGGGCAAGGAAAAACTCATACTGTTGCAATTTTTATGAGAAACACGATGATGCAACGTTAGGAAAAAATAAACTTGTTTCAAGTCAAGTCTTACGTCATCAAAAGAAGTCATGATGCAAATACTTACATGGTGTGAATCAAACATTTAATACTGTGCCAGACTTTTTGTTTAAGTATGGATAGGTAAATGGAATGGATGGCGAGATGGATAAATATAAATTAGTATGTGTGTGTGTGTGTGTGTGGGGTTGCTATGTATATGTCTCATTAGGCCCAATGTTGTACAAGTTCGATTGTGTGTGGACGTTTTTGAAGCTGCAAAATGTGAAGCCCCGCCCACTCCCCCGGTGCCAACGGAAGGCCTTCCTATAGAATTTACTCTGGCGCAGACTGTCACCCCTGTGAATTTGTCATCCTAGAATCGCTCCTGCTCGTACCAAACATTGTGCACAAAACAACTTCCTGCACAGTAGCACCTCTGTTTATCTGACGGAATAAACGAATTGGAACTGACAAGAAAGTTGTTTTCATTTGAAAGGCTGAGAGGCAAGAAAGAGGTGCGAGAGAGTCGCTCCGAGTCGACGACACTTTCAAAGCACCAATTGATCAATTATTCAGTGGCGTGGCTACGTGGCTGAAATGAGCCGGGAAACAGATGAATTCCTCTCTTTCGCTGGCTCTGGTGACGACGCTTTTGCAGCGTTTTCTGTCGAATCAAATAAACATGCAAATAAAATAATACATTCATAAATCATGACATGAAAGAATACATACAGAAATGAACAAATGCATCGATAAATAGAGATATATATATCTATATATATATACACATTAAATTGGCTGTTATACATTTGTTTTCACATTTTGATATTTCTTTGGCGGGTCTTTGTGCATGAAAAATGAGACCCACAAAACAGATGATAAAAGTAATACATTTAAAAAGAGACTAATTTGTCTTGAAACGAATTTGTCAGATACTTTACCAAATGAAGGAATAGTTTTTCAATGGGTTTTTTTTTGTTTTTGTGTCAAATAAATGAAGTCAAGAGAAATAAAAGCAGTCTAATCATAGTGCAGCAGTCATGAAATGAAAGAAGTAATTTATATGGCTTATATTTTATCAGGTTTGTGAAAATTTTCAAATACGCAGTGTCCAAAGTTGACAAACATCTGGATTTTGTCATGCAACAATTCTTCGCCAATAAAACCAATTCGTCTGCAACTCTCAGCTTTTGCCGTCGTCACGCCACGTGCCGGAAATTCTCCGCATTGCTTTCAATTAAAAAGCCTCTTTGTTTACGACGTGACGGATGGCTTTGGAGAATGATATTAATATTGCAAAGTTTTTGGTTCCGACTAAAAATATCCATTGTGGTCGCGCTGTGTGTTAATAATTTAGCTCTTTACAAAGGGAAATATTGAAATATTTACTGGCTCACAGGCTGACGTGCTCCTAATGTTTCCTGTTTGCTTGCCGTCAGGTCAGTGAGAATGAGCGTGGGCTAACTCCATGATCATTTCATAGAGATTTAGAATATATTATTACACAAACGATTATTTCTTCCTGATACTTGAGTATACAGAAAATGGTTCCAATTGTGGCATTTGCCCAAATATGATCATTATGACGAGGTATAACGTAGGGCCCGACCAATATGGATCGGATTTATTTTACTGTATTTCTTTAAGAAAATGCCAGGGAAAGCTGACTGGAACATCCGAGTTTTATTTGAGGTTCATCAGAGGTGACAGGAGTGCGCTGACTCCCATGGGATTAATTTATTCTGACCACTGCCACATCCCCAGTTATAAGCGGCCGTGTAGGACCAACCACTTGATCTCCTGGTTATGTAACATATACATCTCATTCGTGGTGGAAACATTTTATAATGTTTCATTCTGTTCTCATTAATTTATGTCACAGAAGGCCAGCATTTGAGAGGTGTGTCGGGTTTTTATATCCATTGTGCGCAGAGCTTGCGGAGGACGCATCCTTTTAAATATCACCACAAGGATACATTTGTCATCCTACGGCATTTGCTATTGTCATGAGGAGTCATCATATCGTCGCAAGATGAATATCTTCCCCCCCTCGAGGCTGTCGACATGCTCAGAAACAATCCCGGCCAGAAAAAAAAAAGAACGACAGAAACAATGACTTTTTTACTCTTTGTAAATGTGAACAATTATTCATTTCAAATGTCCCAGTTGAGCTTCCACATGCTGCTCATAAAAAAGGCATGAGAGCCAACACCGCCCCGCCAGGAGAGGCCACAATATGGAACTGAATCACTCTGATTTGCAGACGGACGGCAGATTAAAAATAAATTGTGTTGTGAAATATTTAGAGCGTTAGGAGGAAGGGGAGGGGCGTTACTAATGGGGATTCGGTCCCTCTGCTCTCAGAGCGAGGTGACTTTTTCCATGGAATGCCATTTCCCACCTGGATGATTAAAAACCAAGTCAAGATAATACGAGAAAAATTCATCTAAAAATATAAAATGTATGAAAAAATTTGAATTCGATAAAATGTGTATAAAATGCCATAAAGAGTAACATGAAAGAGAAAATAGATATTTAAAAGATAACCAATTTGAATGACAAAATTGGTTTTGATTTCAAAGTAAGTGCATCGAATTAAACAAATCTAATTGTTCCATCACAAAATGTACCATCTTTCAATCAAAGTGCCCTCCTTGCATCGCAATGTAAATCAGATTGACTTTTAATGAAGAAATGCATGCACAACCCTAATATATAAAGATAGATAGGTGGGCGGGTGGATGAATGGATTCCAGATTGATATATTCCCTGTGAGGGAAACAGTACCAACAATGTGGCCCACAACAAAGATGAACTGCAATGCTCGGCATTTAATTATGATTTGTACCATATAATTTATTTTATTCTATGTTTTCAACCATCTAGATGGGCTGGCTCTTCTGTCCATTTAAAAAAAAAAAAGAAAAAAAAATCAAATATGGCTCTGGAGAAAAAAACGTTTGCCCAGCCATTTGGGTGTCTCGTGCAGCTACGTTATAGTGAGGTACAGTATGTGACTTCCACTGTATTCACATCCAAGTCAGCAAAAGTGCCAGGTTGCCTTCTGAGGCATTCAATTGTGAACTAACAGGGTGCGGATCAAAGCTAATCAGGCGTTCAAAACGGTCGCATATGCAAACAGCGTGTAATGACCCCAGCCAGGTGTTTGCTTTTACTCTGCTCATATTTGTTTGAGAGGACCGCACATTGCCATTTGCCCTCAATGTCCGCACATCCTGCTGACGGCGAGGCTGGGAGGACCATGGATGGTGGATAAGCATAGACAGCTTTTGTTAAATACTTGACATAAACAAAGTCATCTTCAAACTAATAAAACTGCGAGGAGGAGACTCCATTAAGGACATTCCAGAATTCCATTTCTGGGCGCGTTGGTATGGACCAGTATTAGCCATCTCCCGGGGCCCGAGGCTGCATTCTGAGCTGCCTACCCTGTTGTGATGTCTTTGGTCCGGAGTCGTTTATTTGAGGGGAGGCCTTCAGCTGCAGATCCACTGCATGATCAAAATGTATACTTCAAATCAGCTTTTCACTAACTATCTAGATAGCTACATCTATCTAGATAGATAGATAGATAGATAGATATAGATCTAGATATAGATACACACACACACACACACACACACACACACGCACTCACGAGTCATTCAATAAATAAGGTGAATTTTGAATTTTTCGGTAGAAGGACTTTTAAGACAGATCAAAGCTTACTTTATTAATAAATATTTTTAACATAGTCTCCCAGCACCGTCACACACTTTTCCCATCTGTGCACAAGCTTCCATAAAAAAAAAATCCTTGGACTGATGTCTCAGCCAAGTGGGGAAATGAAGCTTCAAATTTGCTTCATGAACCAATTGTATTTTTGACTCCTCTAGATTACACTGTTGGTTTAAATAAAGGGCTTTAAGAATTGGCAAGTCAGTGGGCTTTTAGCTCATTAGTGAACAGAGGAGACAAAAAAAACACAACTGGTTCATAAAGCCAATTTGAAGCTTGATTTTCTCATCACAAGTCCCAGTTCTCCTTTAGTGGAAAGCAACAGCGAGATAAAACAAGGACCGCTTGTTATTCAGCAGTGATTGGTTCTGTTACAGCATGCCATCAATAGGCAGTAGTCATCACACATAACTCAAATTTTAAAAAGTAAAATAAAACAGCAAAAAGGTGATTCAAGGCCATTCCTATTGTTAGGGTAATTGATTAACATACTCATATTTGGTGGGGAATACAGCCGATATAAAAAGTCTTACACACCACGGTTCAAATGCCAGGTTAAGACCAACATCGAGCTTTTCAAAAAGTATTGTCGAATTAACCCCAAATAAAGTTCAGCTATTCCATTTTTTTTTTTTTGCTTTCTAGCAAAAACCTCAGGATTTTGTGCTTACACTAACTGCTATTTCAAAGTAGTCATAATTCCTTCCATTTTGACAAAGCCCACTTGCCCTCGTTACAACTCAAGAAAACAAGGATGTGTCGACTTTCTCAATCCATTCTATGGTGTAGATTTACTTGTATTGAGACGTTTCTTCCTCTGGAGTTGATGTTTAGGCCTTAAACCGCCTCAAGTTGCAGATTTACATACATTAATTGATATGTACAGCATCTCCAGGGATGCATAAAGCTCTTTGCATCTCTCTCATACACGAATATCAGAATAAATAATGTAGTCAGCTTTTTTTTTTTTTTAACCAAAATCTCCCTTCAAAGGAACTGAGAGAATACTGACATATTGAGCTAGAAGCCACGTTTTGCTGCATAATGTTCGTCTGGTACTCAGGGTGACAACTGAAGGATGATCAAAACATTTTCGACAAGCTCCAATCTGCCAGTGACTTAAACACCAAATAAATTTTTTTTCAATCTTTTTTTTTCCCCAACAAGAGATATTTTCCTGAAACATTATTTGTAGTCCTTTTTTATATAGGATAAAGTCAGCTCTTCTAAAATTAAAGGTGTGATATCCTGAGAAAGTAATTTTTTTGAAATGTACTTAAAATGTAACTTCTTTCACTACAATTACTTTCAACTTTAACAGCTTACTGTAGCATTGTAGCCAAGACCACACCAACTGAGACCAAGACATTAATTATCGAGACTAGAGAGTATCGAGACCGAGACAAGACCAAGACTGTATATTTGCTCCACGTACAGCACTTTGTATACATCGCTGGTTGTTTTAAAGTGCACTATAAATACAGTTGAGTTGAGTTAAATTTTTTTAAGTTGGGGGAATGAACCAAATAACCAGTATGTTTTTTCATTACATTTGCTAAAAAAATAAATAAATAAATAAATAAATGCACTATGAATATAGTTGAATTTTTTTTAAGTGGGGGGGGTGGGGGAAATGAACCAAATACGGTAACCAGTATGTTTTTTTCATTAAAATTGCTAAAAAAAAAAGATTAAATGCACTATGAATATAGTTGAGTTGAGTTGATTTTTTTAAGTGTGAGGGTGGGGGGAATGAACCAAATAACCAGCACCATTATGTATTTTCATTACATTTGCTAAAAAAAAAAAAAAAAAGAAAACAAAAGAAAAACGAGGGCAACAAACAAGTATGTGCTTAGTGCACACAAGCATCACATTTTAGATGTCAGAGAAAGACCTCATGCATCATTACTTTGTCCATATAAATTTACTTTTTTAGTGAAATGTCCGGATCCAAAAAGTTTGAGAACACCTTGTTTAAACTACTGTATTCATTGAGGCAATTCCAAACACGGTCACAAACACAATTGAAACGCTTCCATTGACATAACTGAAATGCTCTTATTGTTACACACGGACTACTGAAGTAGAACAAGTTTGTCGGGTACAGAGAGAAATTCAGTATTACCCCTTCAACACACAACTGAAATGCTCACCCACACAGCACTGAAACTTTCTCACATGCCCACAAGCTGAAAATCTCTCACACGTACAACTGAAGCTTTCTCACACACACACATTACTAAACTGCTCCCACGCACTTTAGTGATACTGAAGCACTTTGACACACTAACTTTGGAAACTCTCATTCACACACACACAGAACTGAAATGTTCTCACACACACACGAGTGAAACATTCATCTCTGTAAACTATGTTACATGAGAATATTTTAGAATGATGTGTGAGAGGATTTCTGCTGTTGGCGAGAAAGTGTTTCACTTACGTACGTCAGAGCTTTTCGATAGTCAGCGATCGAGGTAAGCTTGAATAAATATGTCCCTGACAGCACCTTATCGTTTTGTTTGTTTTTTTTTTGTTGTTTTTTTTGTAAAACTATATGCACTTCTTCTCAACAGCTTTCAAGATGATGCCACTCGTAGACATCATCCCAGTCAAATGACCTATTCCATGAGCTGTGCGCTTATGTGATTGTGATGTCACTCAGCATCATGGTGCCCTCAAAGGTATCCACCACCACCACACGTTTTTGTTGCGTCTCTCCATTTACCATTTGCGAGTAAGTTGCCGGTACTAAGATATTCTGTAGTCCAGGTGCACAGGTAAGACAGCAGAGATGGACTCGTATGGCATATTTGGCGACCGCTTGGTCCCCGGTGCCCGGTTGTACTCGGCGTCCACCAGCTACAAGGTGCTGTCGTTACTCAGCAGCGGTACCTTCGGGAAAGTGGCCAAATGCCGCAAAATGGATAGCGACAAGACGGTGGCGGTGAAGATGATTAGGAATCAAGGCAGCTTTGCAGAGCAGGCCAAGATTGAGGTAGCGTGAACCTCGGTTTGATGTGGAGGGTATGTTCCAGAAGTTCTGTGAAAATCAGTGATCATGTAAAACGCAATTAAAAATAAAATAAAAAAGATTCGATTAGAACTCCCACACCCCTAAAATAGTTTTGAACACTTCAACTTATTAACCCAATAGACTCTGGCCAATTTTGTGCTTGTTTATGCTGGTGTAAAAAGTAGCGGTGTAAAGTAGGTACGGTGTTTTTACCATGCTACGCACTCCATTTGGCATGTGCTCTCTGCAGATTGACACGCTGCAGAAAGTAAAAATGCTGCAAAACTCGAAAAGACATCTAGTTCTGTGGAAACGAGTCTTCAGCGACATGGGGCACATTTGTCTGGAGTTCGAGTATCTGGACAAGAGTCTTTATGACCTCATGAGAGAACGACAATTCAAACATCTTCAAGTGAAAGAGATTCGACCCATGCTCCATCAGGTACGTTTGAAGTTTGGACCCCCAATAAGAAGACGACTGACAAACCGTGTTTTTTATGACCTTGCAGCTGGCCAGCGCTCTGGACCACTTGAAGCGTGCTCATATGATTCATGCGGACATCAGGTTGGACAATGTCATGCTGATCAACCACCAGCGGCAACCGTACAGAATCAAAATCAGTGACCTCTGCTTGGCCCAAGGCGCTTCGGCCACCAAACACAACTCCAATGTTCAGAGCCACACATACTGGTATTTCTTTGCATTTTTGCACCATGATATTGTATCGGGAAATCTTGAGTCCAAGTCAGTTAGTCGGCCAATTATCAAATCACTCGAAGGGTTGCTCTATTGTAGATTTAATGTCTCGCAGGAATTGAGCCTTTATCTTCTGACAGGTCTCCAGAGATCTTACTGGGGGCCCCATACACTGAGGCAACAGACATGTGGTCTGTCGGTTGCGTGGCGGCTTTCCTCTACATCGGCACTCACATGTACCCTGGCAAGAAGGAATATGAAACGGTAATTGACCACATTACATTTCCCATCAAAGTAAGACTTCATAGATTGTTCCTAATCATGGGCTTGTTCTTAATCATGGTCTCTGTTTTGCCTCTTCAGATAAAGTACATTATGGAGACTCAAGGTCCCTTTCCAGAGGACATCCTAGTCTCTGGAGAAAAGACTGGGGACTTTTTCCATAGGGACAACAAAACCAGTTCGTGGAGACTGAAGGCAACCTCATTTTAAAGTGAATTTTAGAGGTCAAATGCTTTAGGCTAACCCACACCGTGTCTCCCCAGACGCCAGAATATTACCAACAAGAGACAGGATTTGCAGCGCGAGACACCCGAAAGATAAAGCTGACGTCTCTCAATCACCTTCAACAAGTACGTCGGTTGAATCTTAAGACCTCACTAGTACAATCAACCCCTGGCGCGCCCAGACAGGGACTGAGCCCTGCTGTGAAGAGCAAAAAACTGCCAGCGATCACAACATTGTTTGGGTTTGTTTCAGCTCCAGCCTTGGGTTTCCGATGCCCAGTATCCCGCTGACAAAGACGTGCACGCAGACGACAAGCAGATGTTTGTGGACGTGCTCAAGGGAATGCTCCACCTCAACGCATCCCAGCGACTGACTCCGCGTCAAGTCCTGGCACATCCGTTCGTCACCATGAGCCACCTGAAGCTTCATCGTGACGTCAGCCAGCAGTACGTTGGTAGCCGCGTGAAATGAGGATTCAAATGCCGCTTTCGAGACCGGAATACAGTTTCAAGATAGGATTGTGGTTTCAAATGATGGTTTCCAGCATGTAACATAAACATCCCTTTGTTTTGCAGCGCAAAGTCGTGCTATGAGTTAATGTCTCACTGCAAGAAGGAAACATCTCGCATGAGCAAAAGAAAATCTTCAACTTTGCAGAGATCTTCCTCAAAAAGCAGCCAGAAGAAGAAAACCTCCACCACAAGAATCCACAAGAAGTCCCATGATGCCACATGTCATCATCCCGCCAAAAGACAAAAAAGTGGCGATGAAGACGACCGCACCAATCAAGCTAAACAACCTGCTGCCGAACGAAGCCTCACCCGGCTCTCGATTCACTCGAGACTTAAGTCTAAGGATGCAAAGTACATCAAGCTGAAAACCAGATTTGCGGCACGCTTCATGGAGGAGCAAAGCGCGATGGATGAAAACCAGACTTTTCAACGTGCTCCAACTCCGAACCACCAGCAACAACATCATTACTGTTCTGAACCAGGAACAAAGGCCTGGGCCCTGGGGAAGGATCTTCCTAAAGGTGTACTATTAAGAAAAAAGTAGGGGCGCAACTAATGATTTTTTTCATTACCAGATAATCTGTCGATTGTTTTGTCGATGAATCGGATAAAAAAAAAAAAAAAACAAGTTTTAATTTCTAGCCTTATGTTAATCAAAGGGTGGCCCGGTGGTCCAGTGGTTAGCGCGTCGACCTCACAGTGCAGAGGTCGTGGATTCGATCCCGGCTCCGGCCTTCCTGTGTGGAGTTTGCATGTTCTCCCCGGGCCTGCGTGGGTTTTCTCCAGGTACTCCGGTTTCCTCCCACATTCCAAAAACATGCATGGCAGGCTGATTGAACACTCCAAATTGTCCCTTGTTGTGAGTGTGAGCACGGATGGTTGTTCGTCCCTGTGTGTGCCCTGCGATTGGCTGGCGACCGGTTCAGGGTGTCCCCCGCCTACTGCTCGAAGACACCCGGATAGGCTCCAGCACCCTCTGTGACCCTTGTGATGATAAGCGAATAGGAAAATGGATGTTAAACAAAAGGACAACATTTCAAATTGACAATGTAGAAAGTGCACAAACATAAATTCAGCTACTTGTTTGGTTGGTAATGTGTCAGAAAACAGGCACAAATGTTGCTCGTCATTCTCAAAGTAAAATGAGAAGTTTGCAAATCTTTTAATTTGGTTCCACAACAAGTCTGAAATACAATTGAAATTTGACATTTACTGTTGAGTGGCTGCAATTCTGAGAATTTGGACAATTTTAAACAAAGGCTTCGACGATGAATAGATAATCAAAAATAATTATCAATGAATATGTTAATTGATTTGTTGTCGATTCATCTTTGCACCTCTTGACAAACGCCCTAAAGGCCGTCGTTCTCTGTTCACTGAGATATCAATGCACACTTGTAATGAGGTTTGGGTTTCAATTTCGGATTTTAAGATCGGGTTAGGGTTTCAAATTAACATTCGAGTCAGGGTAAGGTTTTCAAGGCAGGGTTGGCAGTTCAAAGCAGGGATTGAAACCAGGGTTTTGGTTTCAAAGAAGGGTTTCAAAGGATAGCCTTTTGACAAAAAAGACATTTATTTCACTGCAGGCTAACCCTCATCTACTCCATTGAAAAAGTCATCTCTTCTCATTTAGCTCGACTTCTTCTAATTTAGCTCGAGCTTATCTTATTCAGCAGTAGCTCCTCTCGTTTGGTCGTCAAGTAGCTCACCTCATCTGAAGCTACGTAAACGTCCCGACCTGATTATCCTCCCACTGGTCATGTGGCGTGAAAACAGTAGCTTTATTTATCCGGCAGAGGAGGACGCCCAAATGTCACAAGCGGGCGCTTTGGCCCGGCGGACAGGCTTAGGTGGCGAGCAAAGGTGCTGATCCAAACTGACATTTGAAAAAGTGGCGGCCGGCACAATGTGCATTCACGCGGTTACGCTTTGTTCTCTGACAGATGAAGACGACACAAAAACAATTTGCCACTTGAGATCAGAGCCAACGGTACAACACACGACTTCCGATTATCTGGTGTCAGTTTTGCCTGCCCATTGACAGAATGAAGGCAAAGCCTAAAATGTTAATCGTTACATTTTCTTTCAAAATGTTACTACATTGCTGTTTCCATGTCGATTCGATATAAAGTAAAGATTCCAAACTTGTGTTGAGTGGAGGCTATGATTTCTTTTTTTTAAATATCAATGTTAGATTTCAGTCAGAGTCAGCTACTGTCGTTCCACATTCCCGTCATGAATGCACCGAATGGGCTGTGACAAACTGATTCCAGTGTAACATCAGCCCACACCCACACTGCGCAGTACAGTAATGTTTTTTTTTTCATCTTGAATCGTGCTCGGCCATCAAGCAAAATGACACCAGCGAGGACACCGAACACAGTGTTTCAACTCTTCAACACATAAATGAGGAAACATTTTTTTGTACAAAAGGAGTCAAAGTATATATTTTGTTAACCGTAGAAAATAGAAATAATTTGGTCCAAACATCATTATTCTAAAACCTGAAATCCCTTTACAGAATTGTTAAATAAGAGTAAAAATGATTCATTATTGATCATTGACTCATTGAGGCTGATGCTTCTTTTGGAAGGATTGTGCAAAAAAAAAAAAAAAAAACACTATTAAAAATGACTGCATTTCAACAATGTTATTTTTTTCTTTTCTATTTGGCATTACAAACTTTATATAAAAGATAATTTTTACTTGATTTCTTTTTTGAAAGACTAATTAAAAAAACAATGTAAAAATGAACAATTTGAATGTGCGTTCGTTTTGAATGTTTTGAAAGACATTGAAATAATTGTCACAAAAAAGCCAAAGAAAAAGCACCCCCCGCCCAAAAAAAACCCCAAACAAAGGAGTCTTTCTTTGGGGGTTTTCAGTCGAGTGCTATGTCTTGCCAACAAGGGACTTTTGAATATAATCAATATTATGCTCGATAAGGCAGTCGTCATCTTCGCCAATCCACTGCCTTACTCATGCCTGCTGGTTGCATGTAAGCGCGTGTGTGTGTGTGTGTGTGTGTGTGTGTGTGTGCATCATGGTTGAGCCTGACAGGCAGAGTTGATTGTATCAGCTTTTTATCTCAAGAGACCACCACTCTCGACTGTGTGCTTTCATTCACTTCACCGCCTTGTGTGTCGAATGCTGGCTGGTGTCCATGTTTGCAGCGAGGGCGGGCGGGGACTGTAATATTATTATGGGATGACAGCCATCGTTTTGGCCAGGCTCTGACCTTGCGGAGTTGAGTTAATTGTGAAGTTTGTGCTTTATGGGTGAGTCATCAACTTTTTGCCGCCATGTGCTGGCCACACTCAAAAATGAAAAATAAAATATCTCACAATTTTGTGTTGCTCATCTGTCTTATATGTGTGGTTCAAGTTTGGTAGCATTCGGGCAAAAACTACTGATCAGGTTGTCTTTGAAGGAAACCAACAAGCCACTAAAATGAACTTAAAATGTTCACTTCAAACATAAACGCCAGACTGACCTTATCTTTTCAGGCATAGCTTCTTCAGAGGTTTCAACAGATCTAATAGACAGAAATGCCCACCAAATTTGAAGTTGCTAAGTGAAACTGATTTGGGAGGTATATTTTCTTGGGGTGAATCCCGGAAACAACCAAAATGACCTTAAATTGGTCATTTTCAACCGAAGTGGCAGACTTCCTGTGTTTTTTCAGGGATGACTTCTACAGACTTTTTCATGGATCTACTCATGATAGACACAATTACGGGTATTTAATTTCATTTTTCTGGGTGAAACTGTTTTTAGGACTGAACTGTTTTAAAGACCAATGAAAACAACCAACTTGACACACTTAATTGCCTTTTCAAACAAAAATGGCAGACTCTCTGTGTGTGATCATGCATAGCCTCTTGAAGCATTTTTGTGGGTCTATTCCTTTTTCCAGATTTACTATTGCAAAATGAAACTGGCTTTAAGGGCTACATTTTTTTGACGAGCCACTGGAAATACTGTAAATACTCAAAAGAACCTTAACAAATGTCACTTTGAACCAAAATGGCAGACATCCCGAGTCCTTTCTGGCATGGCTTCTTGTGATTTTTTTTTTTTTTTTTTTTTAATGGGTCTACTCATGATAGACATTCGTACCAAATTTCATGTTGCTAAATGAAACCGGTTTCGGAGCTAAATTTCCTGCAAAGAACTTGTGGAAATGACGGAAGTTAACGAAACAAAGGCCACTTTGAAGCAAACTGGCAGACTTCCTGTGCCTTTTCAAGCATGACTCCTTGTGACTTTTTTGTGGCTTTACTTATGATTGACACACTTACCATATTTCATGTTACCTCAGTGACTCTTTATGACTTTTTTGTCGGTTTACTTATGATTGACACGCCTACCATATTTCATGTTGCTGAGTGAAATGGGCTTTGAGGGATGAATTTTCCCCAAAATTCCAGACGGCGCCTAAGAGCACATTTAAGCAGAAGTACATTTTCACCAGCTTGAAACAGCTACTGTATTGCTTCTCTTCAGGTGGCAAAGTAATGTCGCATTGCTTGACACATATTGATTTCCTGCATCTGCCACAATGCCGCACTGTGTAAGACCCATTAAATGTGTGTGTGCGTGTGTGTGTGTGTGTGTGTGTGTGTGTGTGTGTGTGTGTGTGTGTGCGCAGCCTTGCAGACCATTTAGAATCTGACTGATGCTGGAAAAATATCATCCCCTTTATAAATCTTGCGCAGTACTTTTACATGAGGATGCAAGTGACTCACATCCATCTGCATTAAAGCATCAGGAAAGTGAAAAAAAGAAAACCCGCATGAAAAAAAGAAAATCCGGCGTGGCCTCCAGTTTTATTGATTGACTTGAAATTGACTGGGCATGTTAATCATAAAATGTCGAAAGGCGGGCTGCCCGGTGGTCCAGTGGTTAGCGTGTCGACCTCACAGTACAGAGGGCCTGGGTTCAATTCCAGCTCCGACTTCCCTTGTGTGGAGTTTGCATGTTCTCCGCGGGCCTGTGTGAGTTTTCTCCGGGTACTCCGGTTTCCTCCCACATTCCAAAAACATGCATGGCAGGCTGATTGAACACTCCAAATTGTCCCTAGGTGTGAGTGTGAGTGTGAGCGTGGATGGTTGTTCGTCTCTGTGTGCCCTGCGATTGGCTGGCAACCAGTTCAGGGTGTCCCCTGCCTACTGCCCGAAGACGGCTGGGATAGGCTCCAGTACCCCCCAGTAGAAGTCTAATGGACCCATGCCAGAAATTAAAGAGGCAGCGGGCCATTTTGGTTTGAAGCAGCCATTTTGGGTCAATTACGGGGACTTTGTGCACTAATGAACTCCTACTAGGAAATTTGCCTGAGTCAAACTGTCTTAAGGTCTGAATTGTTGTAAGGGAGTGTATCCTGGTGAAAATATATGGATTAAAATGTATGTACTGTATTCTCAAACAGGGCCACCCCCAAAACTCACTCACTAAGCAGGTCCTAGAAAGTTCAAATGAAATCAGCTCCCGACACCAGTTTCACTTAGCAACATGACATTTATTAGGGTATGCCTATCATGGCGGTGGATCCAATAGAAAGTCTCAAGAATCCATTCACAAACAAAACA